TTGGGGGCGATATGCTGACTCTGTAAACCGCTTAGAGAGGGCTGAAAGCCCTATGAAGCGGTATAGAAGTCTAACTGCTATTGCTATTGCTATTCTTGAAAGAACCCGTGACCTGGAAACGTCGGTTATATTAGTCAGAAATAAAACCTACCTGCTTTCTCTTCTCTGGGGGAAGAGACGGGTCGCCATCCTAATTTAAAAAGAGGACAGGAAAATAAGTCAGAAGAAAGAAATTCTAATTTGCGCTAAGCCTTTAGTAAAGTATTGTATCACTGAGTCGCAGGCATTAAAACGTTTCCACTTTAAGCTTGCATAATGTTATTAATATGAATTATAAGGTGAGCGCCTTAGAGAAAATCAGAATTTAAAAGATGATAGTGGAATATTTAACCTCACTCATTGCATTACCAGAAGAAAATAGTGTGGTGCAGAGGTGGGTTGCAGCCCAGATCGGATGAATCGGTGGTAGCGGCAACGGGAGGCTCCGCCCACCCGCCCAGGCGCTTCTGCGCATGCGCGCCCCGAACTGGTAGTAAAAAAAATTGGCAACCCACCACTGGTGTGGTGGCTTAGAGGTGGAGCTCTCCCCTCACAATCGGGAGGCTGTGAGTTCAATCCTAGGTAGAGGCAGATGTTTCTCTCTCTGGGTGTGGTGCGAATATATCTACTGAATATAACTCCATATTGGCGACAAGGAAGGGCATCCGGCTCCATTCAGACTCCACCCCGCAAGGGATTATGGGATCATTAAATGATGTTGATTGCATTGCCAGAAGGAAAAGGTTTTATCCTATCCAAACTTCCGAACCGGCTACCTACAATTAGTTCTTGGTATTTCTTCTTTAGCGATTGGTGTTTTTCCCGTAGTTGGTTAGCCATAAGCTTGAACTGGTCTCTTTCCTGTTGACAGGAATCGAGCTCCTTCGAAAGAATCAGCAACGCTTCCTTCTTGCTCTCCAGTTTCCGTTTACACACCAGGTACTACAGGAAAAGCAAGGCAGAAGGTTAGTACTTGCGCTTCACAAAGTAAAACGAATATCCAGGAATGTTTCTATGTAAAGAAGGAGGAAAATACTTGGGAGTGTTTTCTCTCATTAAGATTTGTATCAATGTCTATGGAGATTGTCAATCATCCAGGCCATGGTTTATTTTTATTTTATTTTATTTTATTTTATTATTTATTTTATTTTATTTTATTATTTTATTTTATTT